CTACTGAACAGATCTGATCAAACACTGGCAAGTAAGATACGGGAACGCGAGTGAAGCCATTGGCAAAACCTATACAATATAAACAGTAATATTTTTTCAACATATAAATCCTTTTTTGTACCCTTCAAAAGAAAGTTTGCATATGAATGTTGAGAATTCACGGATTTTTTTTTGCGGCTGGAACTGAAAAATTACTGACTGCAATTGTTATTAATAAGAAGTAAAAACATGTACAATAAATGTTTAGTCGAGATAATGCTGAGAATTGAGATCGAATCTTTATAATTGTCGAGAAAATTCTTGATTGAAGTTGTTATAAAGTCTCAGTTGTGTTTTAGACTAATTAAACGAATGACCTCTTTATAAAAAGTTCAATTTATTTTCTTATCGTTTGTGAATTCTAGCAAAAGTAAACCAGGCTTTTATTTTTTTTTAAGGGCGGAATATCATCGTATGACTGCTCCCGCCTGGGTGAGGCGGAAGGGAGTGTCAGACTCTTACTGACTAAAACCACCCCGTTCCTTCTCCTGCACGTCGAGCCGGAGCCCCGGTTACCCGTTAGGTTCTCCGCGACAAGTAAACCAGGCTAGCTCTTCCAGATGCAAAATGGTACACACGCAGATTCAAGGGGTACACTCAAGGTTTTTTTTGGGAATTGGAGAATTAGGCTGGGGCTGGGGGTCAGGTAACCTCACTCAAAGGACGAAACACAACACAAGCGTTGTTTCACGTCGATGTTCTGTTAGGCCGTGGTATCACTCATTCGTGGCCCATTCGTGCCGCATGGTTCTCCCGCACTTAAAAAGTGATGTTTTACAATAAGTAATGGAAAGTCAGTGAATCAAAACTTTTGCTGTAATAATGCTAGGTAGGTCCACGCTGTTTGTGCTTGACTAAAGAAGTAAGGACTTTCATGCTCAGGTGAATCGTTAGCGGAGGATTTACTTTGCAAGGATTTCTTTCAACAGTTAAATACATTGTTGCTAATTAATATTTATGAAAAGAGATGCATGTCATATATTACTCTGCAGTTACGTTAATTATGATCATTTCGGTCACCACCGTAAGCACAAATCTGCGGACGACCGACCAGAATCAGACCCTTTTTTTTTGTTTAAGGGTAGAAAATATCGAATGACTGCTCCCGCCTGGGTGAGGCGGGAGGGAGTGTCAGACTCTTGCTGACTAAAAACCACCCTGTTCCTACTCCTGCGCTTCGAGCCGGAGCGCCGGTAACTCGTTAGCTTCTCCGCGGGTCCGTATCGGCATCAGCCCTATTGGGCCCCATCCGTTGTGGTCTGATGGCTCTTTGAGGCGCGCGCAGAACTCGACGGGCCCTACACTCGGTTCTGGTTCTTGTCCGGCGGCGAGCCACCTATGCTCGCCGTCAAAGTAACGACTACCAAGGAAAACTTGCTTGTGGAGGTCCAAAGAAAGTAAATAGATCAACGTTAGAAATACGTATGTACGTCAATGTTCTGTGTAACCCAATTTTATTTAGATAAGATACGTTTCTCGAATGAATATGAAAAATAAAATGGTAATAATTGTACTCAAGTATTGATAACGTAATATCACGAATTCATCATGAATCATAATAATGAGTACCATGCATCATTATCTACCGGGGGGCTCGTTCCAATGACGACAATCTGTTTACCACTTAAAAGTAATCGTTGACTTAAAATCAAATCTAATTTAAAATAAATGTATCAATAACAAAATTAATAATCTTCGCTTGTTATCACACGCCGTCATTTTATGTTCTTTTAAAACAACGATTTCAATCTGTTTCTTTTTTTATTAAAAGATTCCGGTGAATTTGAAAACAAACAAATCTTTTAAAGATTTTCTTAAATTATCTTCGATCAACAGAACACAATAGATTTGCATTGATAAGACAAGTTTGGTACGATATCTCAAATGACATGACATTTTGAAAAGGTCAAATCACTATAGAATTTAAGTTTTGGAATTTAAACATTTTAATTTTAAATTATTCACTACCTAGATAAATACGTTACGAAGACAGTCTACTTCTGAATGATATCGAAGCCTACTGACTGTATTTGATGTATACTGATTACTGAATGTATTGAATTACTAGCTGACCTGGCAGACTTCGTATGTACCGCCGATTTTTTATCTCAATTTTCGAACTTTTCCTGGACTTCTACGAACATTTCAAGCCAAATCAGTTCAGCCGTGCTCGACTTTTAGCGAGACTAACAAACAGTATTTAATTTTATATAAAGATATCATACAAAAGAGGGTTAAACAAAATGTTCACGGTCGACGTGGTTGGCAGAGGCGGGTTGAATGAAAACAATAACAATTAAAAATGTTCGGGTTTAGTAGAAAGCTCTGCCGCTCATGCAGGTTCTGTCAACGTAAGTATAATTATGTACTTTCGTACTAACGATGTGCTTAGGAAGAAAAATAACCCTCAGATGACAAATTATTACCGCCATCACTATACAAAGTGCTACTAAATATTGTTAACGCGAAAGTTCATAAGGATAGATGCCTGGTTGGTTGGTGGTCGGGATAAACCATGTACCAACACAACAGGTACACAATTACACATGTTTTTATCCTAGTAATGTGAGTAAACCAAATAGTAGTATGTATATAAATATTTACATAATACTACTTTAATAGTTACATAATATAAATATTTTTAATTGTTATTGTTTTCATTAATTATGACTTCTCACCCCGGTAATGTAATCAACCCTGAGATTATCTATTTTACTATCTGAACACACGACATAGATCAAACACGGCCAATTTGCGTAGTGTCGTATAGTTTCCCGATTTCTTCAGTGTCTACATACATA